AATAACAGCAACACATACAAGGATGACAATTATCCTTGGATGACAAAGGCAACGAAGTTCTATTGAGAACTGATCAACCAAGATTCAAAGTGTTAAGGTCTAGGTAAAATACTAAGGCCTAGATGGACTATTAAAGCATACATAAAATGTTAAAGCTTAGTTAAAATGTTAAGGCCTAAGTAACAGTTACATGACAAGCCTGACATTATAAGGAAACTTTCTGATATGTTTCTGCTGTTACTGGGAAACTTTCTAATGCTTAGATTGATTACATATTCTGTTATGTTCTGTGCTCTTGGAAACCAATCATGATAAAACTTAATAGAAATGTTTTATATATTTACCCACAATAAATTTGGACCCAAACCAACTTTCCAACATCACATTCTGAACATATATATGAGCTTTACCATGCATTATTACTGAGTAACTGTTAAATTAAGTTCATCACAAAATAATTAGGACTAATTAGTATTCAATATGTAAGAACTAGCCACAGAACTTAATGACATCCCAACAGGAATCAGACATACATTATAATTGGGAAGTATTGCATTAAAACACATACTATGAACCTGCTATCTCCTTTGCTTTCTAAATGAGAGCTTTAGTTCAACAATAGCTTCAGAGTAAGGTGACACCTTTGAAACATAGCAAATGAATAGGCAGAATGCCAAGAAATAGGCTTAAGTTAAAACACAATAGGCTTTGAAGAAAAAAAAACTTAATCATTTAACAGGCTTATTTCAGTGCTATTGTACTAAATGACACAGGTTTCAAATTAGAACTGGCTTGAGTCTTTCAACTGCCTCTTGGCACTGTTACATTGTAGATGTTTGGTTTAGGTGAATAGAGTTTTGTGGTAACTTCTTATTATACTTTGTAATGTTCAAAATTTTCATAATCTTTATGTAGCTCTTGATGCAAATGTGTATATAAAACAATATCAGACATGTGTACTGTAAGAGTAGTCAATTAAGACAGTCATTTTCATGGCCTCTTGTGTACTGAAAAGTTTATTAATATAAATCTTTGTTACTTACTATACCCTATCTAATTTTGATAGATTTCAGTTGTTCATTATTTCTGACTTACTCTGTACTATGTTTTGTGATCTTTGTTTTAAATTAAGGTGATTACATTGCTAAAATTGTTATTTTATTATTTGATTGTATACTCTTTTGTGATGATAGTAGGTGCACATGTATATGTTTAGTAGAAATTAGCAACCTAGTATCTTTTTGTACCTTATCAAAATTAGCTAGGTCATTTTAAGTAGTCTAAGCTTACTGGAACTAATGGTGATTCTCCTGCTACAAGCTCTAAAGCATAGATATTGACTGGTTTTGTGTGTCAACTTGACCCAAGCTAGACTTATTACAGAAGAAGGAACCTCATTTGAGGAGATGCCTTCATGACATCCAGCTGTAAGGAATGTTCTCAACTAGTGACAAATGATAGAGGACCAAGCCTATTGCGGTTGGTGTCATCCTAGGGCTGGTAGTCCTGGGATCTATAACAAAGTAGCCGAAGCAAGGAATGGGAAGCAAGATACTAAGCTACATTCCTCCTTGGGTTCTGCATAAGCTCCTGCTTCCTAGTACCAATCCTGCTTAATTTTATGCCCTTACTTCCTTCAATGATGGACTATAATCTGGAAGTGCAAGGCAAGTAAACACTTTCTTCCACAATGATTTTTGGTCATGCTGTTTGTCTTAACAATAACAGCCCTAAGTAAGACAGGATGTGAGCTACCATACATGATTACTTTCGTTCTTTAACCTGTATTATAAATAGAACATAGGGTGATTCTAAGTATATTATGATGCTGAGATATTAATCCCATCCTAGCCTATTTTCATTTGTTTATAAGAAATTAAATTTCTAGGAAAAGAATCAAAGATAATTATCTATTTCCCATTCTCTCCAAAGAAAACTATATGACTCTGCAGACAATAAAGAAAAACCAGTGCGATCATAAAAGAAACAAATACAAAACCAAACCAAACCAAACTTCAGTCCTTTCTTGTGTGTTTGCCTTTCTCTCCCCATCCCACATCCATAACAAGCCAGCTATAAGGATATGCAGATGTAACAAGTCCAAAGGGCAGAGATGCTTGGAAAGGAGTCAGCCCATGTGAGAAGTAATGAAGGCAATCCTCTGTAGATTTTAGAAATGGCAATGCCAAAGTTCTGTGTTAAATACCACAGAAATGTCAAACAAACCCAGACTTTTCCTTATACTGGGTACACATTAGCCAACACAGCAAAGCTCTAAATGAATGCAAAAGACAGCAACAACAAACTTTGTAATTATTAGCTTTAAAAATACTCATATTTTATGAAATACTCAGAGTTTGCGGAAACATGAATATTTACAGTATTTATGAAACAACTCAACGTATCTTTACATTCAATGAATAAGAAGAGTATAGTCAAACCCAAAGAGAAAAGAAAATTAACAGATGTGAACTTAAAAATGGCTCAGATGTTTAATTCATTGCTGTTTGTCTAGGGCTGATATTTTAGGCAAGCTTTATTTGTGCTGTAGATGGTAGTAAAAAAGAACTCTGTAAATGACCCAAGATTGCTTTGCTACCAATATTGTACAGTTATCAGGCACAATGCACTTCCAGAAGTTTTTATTGTACAGGATTGTTTTAGCTATCCTGACTGGGTTTTTGTTTGTTTGTTTTTTGTTGTTTTTCCACAGGAAAATGACACTTGTTCTTTCAAGGTCTGTAAGCAACCCACTCACAAAACCTTCAACCCAAAATGTCTCCTGCCTACAAATATGTGCTGTTGGGTATTGGTTCTAATTCTATTTGTGCTAATGCAACTCCCCAAATCATAGGGGAACCTGCATGTCTGCCTGTAAGATGCTAAAGGTCCCTGCCCCTAGTTGTCTCTAATTAGTAAATAAAGTTGCTGGTGACCAATGACTGAGGAGAGAAACAAAGATGGGACTTTAGATCTCCCGGGCAAGGAAACAACAGAAAGAAAAAGGATTTAAAATCACTATTGCTGAGAAAGAGAAACTCCTGGCCTGAGAAGTGGAGCACAAAAAGACAGAGAGTCAGACAACATGTAAGAGTCAGGGATTGTGGCCCCAGTGGCCCTTCCTCAATTTGACATTGGGGTAGGAAAGATGGATATAGATTTTAGTACGTAATAAATTTAGGAGTATCAGAGGGGAGGTGCCAGTAACTTGGAAGTTTGGGAGTAATCAAGCCATTGAGCTGCTTAGGGGATAATAAAAATAAGGGTGTGTGTGTGTGTGTGTGTGTTTGTGTGTGTGTGTGTATGAGTGTGTGGGTGTGTGTGTGTGTGTGTGTGTGTGTGTGTATTTGGGCAGGCAGAAAGGAATACATACAGCCACAGCTGGAGAGTAGAGTGAATTAACCACTACTGCTTTTTCACTGAGTCCTGGGAGCTTCTTTCTTCCCTGGTATCTGGGAATACCTAGTGGCTATCCACAGTTCCACCTCCCCCACCACTACATATTTCTATTTGATTTCCTGACCCTCTGTACTGCTCTCTTGTTCTGTAAATACCTGACCCTGCATCCCCCCTTTTCCCTCCCCTCCTCTCTCTTTAGCCGAAATACACACAAAGGAGAGATACAAGTGGTTGAGACCAAGTCCAGTAGATAGGCATGGCCACCAGTTGAAGGATGAGGACTCCCACCCATCTCGAAATTTGTAACCCAGAAATGTTCCTATCCAAAGGAAAGACAGAGACAGAATATGAAACAGAGACTGAAGAAAAGACCATCCAGACACTGTCATACCTAGGGATCATTCCATCTGCAGACACAAATCCCCCACACTATTGCTGAAGCCAAGACGTGCTTGCAGACAGGAGCCTTGTAGGTATGGCTTTTCCTTGAGAAGTTCTACTAGCACCTGACCAAGACAAATGCAGATACTCATAGCCAATCATCAGAATAAGCACAGGGAGTTCAATGGAATAACTAAGGGAAGCCTGGGAATGAGCTGAAGGGGATTGAAATCCCACAGAGAGAACAGAAGTATCAACTAACCAGACTCCTGAGAGCTCCCAAGGAGCAAGCTTCCAACCAGAGAACCAGTTCTTGGCTCCCACTACCTATGTAGCAGAGGATGGCCTTATCTGATATCAGTGGGAAGGGAGGCACTTGGTCCCAGAGGACCAAGCTTGGAGGCTTGATGTCCCAGAGAAAGGGGGTGCAAGACTGGTGAGGTAGAAGTGGGTGGGCAAGTGGGGGAGCACCCTCTTAGAAGCAAAGGGGAGAGAAGATAATATGAGATGTTCGTGAAGTCCAGATAGAGGGATAACATTTGAAATGTAAACAAATACAGTGATTAATAAATTAAAAAACATATAGAAAATTACTTCAAATTCTCTGTTATGAATTAAGGTAAATGTTCAATTTATAATAGCCTTTAATCAAGTAGTTCTAGAATTAGACACAGTCTTTAGCGCACCAAATCATAAAAATCATTGACAACTTCTTTTATCAATTACTCATTTAATGATAGCAATAAACAGTTTTTGATTAAGCAAAAGGACTGACATATGCCACTGCATTTTATTATACTGATAGAATTAATTTAATAAAGTTAAGAATGATTGAAAACACATCTATATATTTCAGTCTCTGGCCTTTAAACACACACACATACACACACACACACACACACACACACAGAGAGAGAGAGAGAGAGAGAGAGAGAGAGAGAGAGAGAGAGAGAGATTGTTTCTAAGGACTTGTTTATCAAAACCAAGCATGGCTATATTTCAAAGCATAACACTATAAAGTAACTTTCCTAAATAAGTTATATATAGGAAATATAAGTTATATATTGAATTGACTGAATTGTTACCTTTTGTCTGAAGCTATGCATCAAACAAGAAAAAAAAACATGAACTCACTGTTAATTTTAATTTTCTTATAAAATGTATATTTTCCCAACCCACCTAAGTGATTGCAATTACAGCACATGCTGGGTATAACTTACATTCAATGTCAAGGTGCATGCTCCTCTGGTGCCCGCCAATCCGACTTGCGGCCTCACAGTCGTATCTACCGGAATCTGACAACTTCACATCTCTGATGTGCAGTGAAGAGCGCCCATGCTGCCCTTTAACTTCAATGCGGCCATCCGAGCTCTGTGCAGAGTCATTCAGAAAAGAAAACAAAGGGGCGATTTCTTGTGATGATGAAAAATGGTCCCTGAATTCATCATGATTATTTTGTAAGCATATCAATGAAAGTACACTGGTAACACATTTAAAAACTGAAGAGCACAGTAACAAATTTAGAAATACAGTTTCTGTATCGGATGCTTCATGGTATTCTGCTTCTCATTTTCCACAGTCACCTGCTAGGACGGCCCTGATATATAAGGCGCCCTTTCAGACATATTTTATCAACCACATCTTCTTGTTGTTTTGCTACTTTTTCTTATAACTTTTACCCTTTTATTGAAAATAGATTATTTTTTCATTACAATATATACTGATTACATTTTCTTCTCCTTCTATTCTTCCCAGTTTCTCCCCCCCTCCCTTCTCCATATCTACTCCCTTTCTGCCTTCTCTTATAAAATAACAGGCACTAGGCAGTGGTGGCCCATACCTTCAGTCCAAGGACTCAGGAGGTATAGGCAGATAGATCTCTGTTTCTTTGAGGCCAGCCTAATTTACAGCCTGGACAGCAAGAGATGCATAAAGAAACTCTGTCTTGGTAAAACAAAATACAAGAACAAAAAGAAAAGAAGAAAGAAAGAAAGAAAGAAAGAAAGAAAGAAAGAAAGAAAGAAAGAAGGAAAGAAAGAAAGAAGAAAGGAGGAGAGAGAGAGAGAGAGAGAGAGAGAGAGAGAGAGAGAGAGAGAGA